CGTGCCACATAGCAAAGTAGGATATTGTGGACTATGTTATGCCAGTTGACCAGATATCCGTCAAGGCTGTGGGCTTGAAGAAGTCCAGTGATTTATGTTCTTGAAGTGTTTGGTTATTGGAGAGAAATTTGCCTAACTTTGCCCCCTGCACACTCTGCTATATCCTTAGATCTATTTGCAGTACATACATATCAGCAGAAATCTGTGCCAAATTCATACTCATGTCTGTTACTCCCACTTGCCAACCTACACCTCCTCAGCTTGTAAGTTTAGCCGTGTATCCATTTGTATGTGTTATTATTGTTGCAGAATTATGTATATGAGAGATACCTTTGTCGTTTTTACTCATGTACATTTGCCAGTGTCTGTTTCTACTTTGGTGAGGTTGTGCTACCTTCCACCCTATTGTTTTATTGCCTTTCCCTTCACTTAGAATGCACCTGGTGAACATTTTTCTTGTTGTGTTAGGTGCTGTGAAGTTGGCTCCAACTCATTGTGATACTCTAAGTCATTCTCATAGTCTTGGCTCTGCCTGCACCCACTGGTGCAGCCACTGTGTGAATCCATCTCGTTGCCAGTCTTCCTCTTTTTAACTGAGCCTCAACATTACTAAACATTATGTCTTTCGTCACGGACTGGCCTCTCCTGGTAACATGCCCAGAGTATATGAGACATAACTGCAGTCCCAATAAAACATACTTGCAGTCATACTTATCAAACCCTCCTCACATTCCTCGTTAGTTGAGTCAGAACTGACTCATAGCTTAAACTCCAGCAGGTTTTCAGAGACTCTCAACTTCACAGAAGGACATTGTTCCTCTTTCTCCTGCTGAGCTGCTCTTGAATTTGACCCACTAGAGAGGTGTTGCCTTTCTAGTTGAAGTGTAACTCCCTCTGGACTTGGTAGGTTCCTTTGAGTTGAGTATGACTCATAGCAACACAATGAAACACAGATCTGAACCCTGTCCAATCCTGTACCATCCTCATCATTGCTAACGTATTTGAGCCATTTGCGGCCATCACTGGATCAATGCATCTCGTTGAGGGACTTCCTTTCCAGGCATGACATCTCTCTCCAAGGAATAGCTCCTTCTAATAACATGACACAAATATGTGAGAAAAAGCTTCGCCATCTTTGCTTCCAAGGAGTATTCTAGTTGCATTTTCTCCAAGACATATAGGTCTTAGGCCACCAGGACACCAGTGCCTTTTGTTATACTTATCACTCACTCATTGCTCAATCAGAACTGACTCATACCCAACCCATCAGGGAGTTTTCAGAGGTTGTAAATCATATGGGTGGAGATTGCCCATCTTTCTCCATTAGAGAAGCTGGTGGATTTGAACCTTTAGTATGGCAACACAACTCCTTACCCATTATGATTGTCCACATAAAACCGAGAGCTAAAAGCATTTGATATTATAAAACTACATTTCCTCCTATGCCTGATTTTGTGTTTATATTGTTAAAGTACTATTTATTCTTAACCGGTGTTAAAAACAACCATCGCCAGTATTAAGAATAGTGTCTACCATAGCCAAACAACTTTGATAAATTTTAGCATTGCCCATTGCTTGTCCATTGGTCCCTATACCACACCTGATTGAAAAAAAAATACATATATATGTCTCTTAAACTTGAGGTTGAGGGATAATGCATGACCTAGAACGACTGTTTTCTCTCTAGAAAGTGAGGAGAGTAGACAGATGATATTGATATTGTTCAGTCTTAATTTGGAGAAAGTCATAAAATAATGAAGAAACATAGTCTCGGTAAGAAGACTTGATACTGCTAAGTATTAATATTGTTACATATCATCAAGTCGATTATGACACATAGTGACCCCGTAAACAACAGATCTGATCTTAGCCCTCTCCTATACCTCCCTCATGGATCTGTCATGTTCAAGTTCATTGTGACAATCACCCTACCAATTCATCTCCTTGACGGTCTTCCCCTCTCTTTCCCTGGCCATCCACCTTTTCAGTATCATATGTCTACAGAGTGGCTCCTCCTGGAAAACATGCTCATAGTGAGACAAAGTCCCACCATCCTCGCTTCTAAGGGCCATTCTGGTTGCACTTCACTCAAGTCAGATGTGTTTGTTCTTTTGGCAGTCCACCAAATATTCAATACTCTTTTTCAACACCACAGTCCAAAGGCATCTATTCTTCTTTGGTCTTCATTACTCACTGTCCAACTTACAGGCATATAGGAAGCAATTGACAATACCAAGATGTGGATCCACCACTCATCTGTAAGTTTGCCACACTGTGGTGGCTTACAGTTTGCTGTGATACTGGAAGCTATGCCACTGGTAATTCAAACACTATCAAGGTTGCTCATCGTGGACAGGTTCCAGAGGAGTCTCCAGACTAAGAAGCAGGACTGGCCATGTGTTTCTGAAAGAAAAAAAATATTAAAAAAATAGGCCTTTGAAAACTGCAAAACACTGAAGGTTTAATACACCGAGATTAGTAATTTTAAGTCGGTAGCTGTTTTTTTTTAAATAAACCAATTGAAAATATTAATTCACTATTTTACCCGAATATATATATCTATCCATAGTATTCCCAGCATTTTTTTTTTAAAAACCCATGTGGTTGTCTTTCAAGATTCATCCTTCAGTTCACCCTGCCTTCACTTACTTAGGACAGTGAAGAGTTTCCTTCTGTTAAACACAGAAAAACTATGAAATGGAATACACTCAATAAATGGTCTCTAACAACAACACTGTGCCCAGGACAGGATTAGCACACCAGGAACTACAGATTCTATAGTGGGGAACTACAGCAATCTGTATACAAGGGAAGAAACAACAAAAAGAAGTAGGGATAGCTAGGACCCATTTAGAGGCTGTCAAGGGCGGGGAGTAATGGAGCAGGAGGGGTTGGGATACTAAAAACTGTGAATGGGAAATACTGAAAAGGCCTGTGTTTGGAGAAGATCTTCAAAAATGAAACTTATGGAAACAATTGAAAATATGTCTTTGATCAAGTGCACCTTATCCTTTAAATTGATATCTTTTAAAAAAAATACTTTGGAGAGGTCTTTGACAGTTGATTTCCTTAATGCAACATGACTTTCATTTACAACTTCAATTTTTTCTCCATCGAAGATCCTCAATGTGATGGATTGATTCAGTGACTGAGGTAATGGGGATAGGTGTGTCAGAGACAATAAAATTGGTACAGGATAGAGCAGGATTTAAGGTTGTTGTACACTGGATCACTATGAGTCACAGGTGACTTGATGGCACAACACAGCAACAACAAAACCAACAATCTTGTTGATGCCTATTGACCCAGTGGTGAGGATTTTGTTTTTTTTTTAATATTGAGATGTAACTCATATCTTAGCTTTTCTTCAGTTAATGCTTCAAGTCTCTTTCACTGTTTGCAAGCAAGGTGTATCACCTGCATAAGTAAAAAGAGATTAACCCTTAACCTCATAGAGTTGTGAACCTTTTAACTATTTGACCTATAACCCTTGGGCAGCCAAAAGAACAAACAAATCTGTCTAGGAAGAAGTGTAACCAGGGTGTTCCTTAAAGGTAGAATGGTGAAACTTCATGTCACATACTTCGGGTGTGTTGGAAGGAGGAGCCAATCTTTGGAAAAGATGCTTGGAAAGATGCAGGGCCAGAGAAAGAGGATGATTCTCAACAAGATGGGTCAACACTTTAACAATGGGCTCCAGTATATTAGTGAGGCTGCTGCAGGACAGGGCTTCAGAGCTATTGTTCACAGGTTTTCTATGAACAACATTCAATTTAATGGACCCTAAAAACAGTAGAGTCTCCAAGAAAGGTATCTGGTTATTTCTGATAATTGTATGTTGATGACGTAACTAAGGCAAACACAGGACATCAGACAAGAGCTGAACTCCAACTCCATCCACTACAGTAGCCATTTAACTTCGGAAGAGGCTTTTTTTGGCTTTTTTTAGTAACAGATTCTAAGAAAAGGGGGGGGGGGCGAAGTAGGAAACTAAAGAGAGTAATTGAACAGTTGATTTTACAGAGTGGTTCAAAAGATTTAGATCATGACTTCTGTGCCCTAAACCTTGACTTTTTAATGTGTACATTAAATTTGTATCCTTAATTTGTATTCTCAGTCTCTTAAACCTTCTGAAACAATGAGATTGGCTAGACTCGCAACATAGCCAAGTTCAGGAAACGTCGAATCCGGCGAGGGTTCTGTGATAACAATTTTATTCTTGGTGTCTGTGGTTACAACTTATCAGCTGTTACAAGAAGAAACCAAGCAGACGTCACAGGTTCTCTAGAAGAACCAGGTAAAAAAAGTCCAAATGATCGCCTTATCGATTGTGAAACTCTTTCCTGGAGGAGACTGCCTGCTTTTCTCTCCCAGAACAGCTGGGAGAGAAAAGGATTCAAACGGCTGATTTTTAGCTTAGTAAAGTAAACTTAAATACAAACGTAAAGACTCAGCAAAGGGCCTGCAGAAGATGTGGTGAGTTAGGCAGCTTTCCCTCAAGCGTCCCTCGGTTGCCTTGGCAACCTTACGTCATCGCGTAGCTTCGCGTATAAGCGGGTGAGAAGCCCACACCGCGCAATGCGCAGGTCCCCGGCGGGAGCCAATGGGTGCGCGGGAGTGTTGGCCTCGCCCGGAGGCAAACTTGCCCGGAAAGGGGCGGGGCCTGGAGGCAGGAGGCGTGTCCGCCGGGTCGGCGGGGCGAGTGGGTCGGTTGTGGGTAGCTTCCCTCCTGTCGCTGGGTGTCCTGAGTTAGGTTACTCTCACAGTCCTTCCCCAGACCGGGAAACCCCGGAGGTGGGGGCCGCAATGTCACGAGTCCCGGGTCGGAGGTGGAGCTGATGGGGCTGGAGGGCTGAGAAGAGCCTGTGACCGAATCGAGGCCCAGCACGAAGCCATCGGGCCCCGAGGTCCCCACCCTCCGCCTTCCAATCCTTCAGGGTCACGCTCCTCGCTGGAAGCCCTGCGCTCTGTGCCCCCCAGGTCCCGGCCCCCCTGCGGGAATGTTCAAAAATGAGTACCAGGTAACCCGAAATGGCTCTCCAACCTGTCTATGACTTTCTCCTCTTGGGTGAAGACACATGACAATCTGACACACTGCCCGTGTAATAAGATCATGCCACAACGGGGAAGATGAACAGTCCTGGGGGGAAACCACCAAGGTGTAGACGTGTGATTTAGCTTTCTGATTCAGTCTCTAGCTCAATACTTCTCAAGGTGTCCGAGTTGCTCCCTATTCTGGTTGCAATACAAACCTTATGACCCAGTCCAGATCGTTTGACTCAGATCTTGAACGTAACACCCAGATGAAAGATTCTTAGCAAGTGCCTGGGGCATGTCAGCTGTTTAGAGAGAGAGCTTAAGAAGAAAACTTGAATGGATAAACAAGTTAAAAAAGATGAGCACCTTGACCATATGCCAATTGTCTTTTCCCCAAACCGGAAGACTTTTCAATGGTTCCCTAACGTTGAGATGCATAGATTAGGGCCACTTGGGGTATTTGTAAAAATGCAGATTTGCTAAATTCACCCTAGATCTAGTGAATCACTCTGAAAAGGGAAGTCACTTAATTTACCCTTTAAACAAATTCCTCTCAGTTGATTTTCATCAGATGGTCGGTGGTGTTTCAATGCATATCCTGCTTTGCTTACTTTGAGATTTCTTTCTTTCTGGCCTGACTTCTTGTCTCCTGCTCTTCTCGCCTCAGTTCTGTTAACAAATTGCCCACCTCTTCATTCTGACTGTTAGGGTGCATGTCCTTGTGCTCAAACAGCCTTCCACTGGGTCCACCTCTGTTGTTTCTGCCATTTTACCAAACACAACCTGCCGGTTTATGAGTGTCTGCATTGTCTTCCTTTTTCTCTCTCTTCTCCCTCATTTTATAACATCTAGTCGATTAGAAGAATTTTGGAGTTTGTTTCACTAGATGTAAGTAAAGCATATTATTATAAAAATTATATTCCCACAGTGGGAAATTAGGAAAGCAAGATGAAACAGGGAATGTGAAATGTGGTGGGAGTATGCTGTTTCTCCAGGTATAAGCCTTTTTTTCTTTTCTTTAAAAATGCTGCCGATTTAAAATTCATAGTGAATTATGACCTGACCTGCCAAGTTATAGTCAGGCTATCTCATATCCAGTTTGCATAGTACTGCCTAAGGAATAAGAAATCACTTTACTTCAAATGGCTACTTGGTAAAACTCGAAAGCAAAACTATATTACTGAAAAATTTGGAAGTTAGAAATTCTTTACAGAGAGCAGACAAGTTTGTTTACTGCTTACAACTCAAACAGGGCATTTAAAAAAAACCTTCATTTAGACTTTAGAGACTCAGTTTCTTTCAGTAAACATGATGTTGTTCAGACATAATGACCCCTACCCCTTTTTTATATGTGGTTAAAACTTAAGACATTCAGTTATATGTTTAATTTTGGAGCATGACCCTCCAAAGTATTAGGTTTAGAGTGAAGGACGAATAGCATGTCTATAGAACTAACTCTTTTTCTTACACAGATTTTATGAGTTTCCATATTAATTTGTATTAAATATACCATGAAATCTTGTTGTTGTTGTTATGTGCTGTCGAGTTGCTTGCGACTCATCGCGACCCTATGTACAACATCCCTAAACTCTGCTCTGTCCTGTGCCATTCGCACCATCTCCGATACACCCATCCCGATTATCCCAGTCACTGAATCAATCCACCTCATAGGGGGCCTTCCCCTTCTGCGCTGTCCCTCCACCCTACCAAGCATGATGTCCCTCTCCAAGGACCTGTCCCTCTGTTAGAAGGAGTCTTAGAATCCTTTCCTCCAAGGAGC